CGATACCGAATGATTAAAAAAAAAAAAAAAGGAAACTCATAACCTAAAGTAATTATTTTAGCTATTGAGTACTACTTGGGAAAGGGACCTCCATAAAATTACCTAGCCACATTGACTTTGTAATGCAACTTAATTGAACTTATTCTATACTCTATTCATAATCATACGCTCAATTATTTAGCCCATAGCACGATCGGTTCTTTTTTCTTAAATTAATTTTCATTTGGCTTGTTTGCAATGCAACTTTTGCATCATGTGACTGTCTAATTTGTCAAGACATAGTTGGTTTGTATTAATTAAAAAAGAGTCACTTTGGCGTAAAGACATTCAAACGTGAACAAGTTAAGTAAAGAAAGCGAATCCTTCGTTGGGAATTGGGGAGTACATGTATATCTTCTATTATTTCAAGAAACTCTAATTAAAGTTTCTATACACGTTGAACAGAGCATCCAAAAGGTAGGAATTCATCCTCCAAATCATAAATGGTGGAAAACTTATGCAGGTTTACTTCAATATTAAAGAATTTAATTCTAGCTGCTGCAGGTTCTGTTTTGCAATATGATTGTGCCAAAGCATTCACAGATGTCACCTCGAGTTCTTCAGCAACAGGACCAAGTACAGTATAGTCTTATTTACAATATGGTGCATTTTTTTCATGCATAATATTTAGGTTGGGTGCACGGGTATAAACATCATTTTTAAATTAAAACAAATATATAGAAGAATAAACTTTATGAGAATGGCCGGAAAAGGCTATTAAGAAAGCGTTAAATAAGCTTATAAGCAAATCAAATTAGTTTATAAACACTTTTTGATAGTTGATCACTCGGTATACATCAAAAGTGCGTGTAAATCAAAAATAGCCAAAAGTCAACGGATGATCCAACTTTGGTTTGTTCAATATTTTTGCTATTTTATCCTTAATACTTTTGAATCCCCGAAAAATTGTTCTCAAAACAAAACACCTAACTCTCTATACTTCACATAAAAAACCAAACATATATGTCAACTATTTATTATCACTTTCAACATTTTTGTCATTTGTTTATAAAATCGGCTTCTAAAACCTAAAAGTTTTGTAATACTTACTTTAATTCAATCAGCTAAGCCAAATAGGTTCTAAAATATGGTCTTTAAAAAACATTGATGAAAATGATCTTTGCCGAGGAATAAGCTTTTAGCTATTTATTACTTGGTCAGCAGTTGTCAACCATATTTATGTTTCAATGCAACTTGAAAAACTCGTTTTCTCACATCAAGTAGAACAATTTTGATCTAGTGCAGGTGGTAATAGATAATGGCGTATTCCAACTCAGATTGACAAATCCAGGAGGGAAAATTATTGGTATTCAATATAATGGGATTGACAATCTGCTGGACCTCAACAACCCAATCTTAAATGGAGGGTAAACCGCACAAATACTTTTTTTTTATTTGTTTTTAATTTTCACGGAAATGTTTTAAAATGTTTGGTTAGTGAGTGAAAATGTTTTCCGAAGAAAATTTATACTATTAAATATTGATAATTATATTAGCAAATCGGAGAGTGTTTTGATGAAAATTTTCATTAATAATATGTATAAATGTTAGTTGAAGCAAGTAATATGAAGTTAAAAGTTTAGATAATTGTCGGTTCGAACTACAAAAGAATCCTACTAAATCTATTCCTGCTTTGAAGACACCTACAATTTTGAATGGGAGCCTTGGAGCAACGTAAAGTTATCTTTGTGTGATCGATCTTTAGGTCATAGGTTCGAGCCGTGGAGATGCTTGCATTAGGGTAGGCTGCCTACATTACACCGGGCTAAAAAAGAAAAAGAAAGTATTATCCCTTTTAAAGATTGCAATTACATTAATACATTATTTAACATGGTAATAAATCATGTAATCAAACTCATTACTTTAGGTATTTTACAATGGATATGCAGATTCTGGGACTTAAACTGGAGTGAACCTGGAACTGCTGGAACAAGAGGAAAATTTGATGAGTAATGTTTCCCCTTAAAGCACAAGCATGATCTGAAAATGCATGTAATTTATCATAATTTCTATATTAGTGTTCATAATTAGCTGTTTTCCAGGATTGAAGGTAATAGTTTTAAAGTTATAGTGGAAAATGAAGAACAGATAGAGCTCTCATTTATTAGGACATGGGATCCTTCACTTCAGGGCGAGCATTCCCCGTTAACCATAGACAAAAGGTTTTTCCTTTTTGGATAACTTTTTCATACACTGATATAAGGTAATTTCAGGTTTTATGGTGGTGATTTCTTTAGTAGCACTGATATATGGTAATTTTCAGGTTCATAGTACTTCGGGATTCGCCTGGTTTTTACTCTTATGCTATTTATGAACACAAAGAGGATATGCCGGCATTCAACCTCAATGAAACCAGGATAGCTTTCATGCTCAGCATAGAAAAGTACTGTTCTCATCACTCCTAGATATTTGATCTTGTTGCATACGTCTGTATTTCCAACAAGGACTAAACTTTCTGTATAAAAACTTCGTTTTCAACCAAAGATTGGAAACTTTATGTATGAGAGACTGACTTCTGAAAGCTGAATTTTGTTTTGTTGCAAGAAAAAAGATGTATCCCATTTACAATGTACTTAGTTCCCTGTAGAAAAAACCCGATGCACTAAGCTCCCGTTGTGCGCGGGGTCCGGGGTATGGCCGAACCACAAGGGCCTATTGTGCGCAGCCTTACCCTGTATTTCTGCAAGAGGCTGTTTCCACGGCTTGAACCCGTGACTTCCTAGTCACATGGCAACAGCTTTACCGGTTACGCCAAGGCTCCCCTTCTTAGTTGCCTGTACAAATCTGCTGAATTAATAATGAAGTGATTTACTTGTATCCAACTTTTAGGTTTCGGTACATGGTTATGGCAGATGATAGGCAAAGGCTAATGCCCCTCCCTGAAGATCGCGTACCTCCAAGAGGGAAGGAATTGGCATATCCAGAAGCTGTCCTGCTTGTCGATCCTGTTGAACCAGAATTTAAAGGAGAAGTATATATAGCACTCTCTGAAGTGCTTCTACGATGACATGTATAGTCACAAGAAGCCTTAACACTAATGTTATCCTTCCAATGAACAGGTTGATGACAAGTACCAATATTCGTGTGAGAACAAAGATAACAAAGTCCATGGTTTCATATGCTTAGACCCTCCAGTCGGATTTTGGGAAATAACTCCGAGCAATGAGTTCAGAACAGGTGGACCTATCAAACAGGATCTTACTTCCCACGTTAATCCAACTACTCTGGCTGTATGTAGCTAATAACCTTTCAACATTTGAATTAGTTTTAAGTTTTACTGATCAAAATGGTTGATTTAGATGTTCGTGAGCACTCATTATGGAGGGCAGGATTTCGTGATTAAATTTGGATCAGGTGAACCATGGAAGAAAGTTTTTGGTCCTGTTTTTATATATCTCAATTCTGTAGCAGACAAACACGATACACTTTCCCTTTGGGATGACGCCAAAGAACGGGTATTACCTCTAAGGATGCTTGCACTCAAAGCCTATTTTTGCACATATATGATATCCCTCGACGTGTATGATCTTCATCGTCCTGCTCTGTGTTTGTTAATTTAGATGCAGAAAGAAGTTGACTGTTGGCCTTATAGTTTCCCAAGTTCAGAAGATTTTCCAAAGGCGGACCAAAGAGGTGCCATCCGTGGTAGATTACTAGTCCATGACAGGTAGAACTTCAAAGTTTCGCACCTATTTAGAGAATAGTTGCTCAATTCAATCAAAAAATGAAATAAATAAATAAATTAATCAACCTATTTCTTTTTTGCTTCGTTCCAAAAAGAATGACCCCTTTCTAAATTTGGAAGCAATCTAACTTAAACTTTGAATTCTATCCTCGCTGAGAAGTTTTAATAGCTACATAAATACTTTGGCAAATGTTATGGCTTGTTTAGGACCACAAATTTAAAGTCTACATTTCTTTTTTAAATTCTCAAATAGGTTCACCTAAATTGGAACAAACTTGCTAATTTCGTATGAAATTCAAATTTTTGTTGAATTTTGTATTGGAAAAAGGTATATAAACAAGGAGTATTTATCTGCAAAGGGTGCTTTTGTGGGGCTAGCTCCACCTGGAGATGCTGGATCATTTCAAAGAGAATGCAAGGTAAGAAGCCAGGAACACTAAAATGAACCCAAAAATATTAAAGTAAAAATAGGAATAAAACACTATAACAGAGTGCTTCTGGAAAAAAAACACTAACAGAGTAAGTTACACTGTATTTTACTCTTCAGGGCTACCAATTCTGGACAAACTCAGATGATGAAGGCTATTTTACAATCCGAAATATTCGTCCAGGGGACTATAACCTCTATGCTTGGGTACCTGGCTTCATTGGAGATTACAGATATGAAAAATCCATAGCAATGGCTGCAGGTTCAAATCATTTAGAGGTTGATGTTGGTGAACTTGTGTATGAGCCTCCAAGAAGTGGTCCTACATTGTGGGAAATCGGCATCCCTGATCGTTCTGCTGCAGAATTCTACATTCCCGACCCTAATCCACAGTATATTAACAAACTCTACGTAAATCAACCAGTACACAGGTTAATCATCTCCTAGAGGCAATTTTACAATGATCCATTAAAATTGTTTTCAAATAGAACCTTCCCTTCTTGATAAGATTTTTCTGATTTATCTTCATGTATAAGTTGCATATTATTACCTATTATTGCTTCTGGTTTGTTTTGTTTAAATCTCGCTGTTGCTTATGCTTCCTTCCCCTAACTTTTTTATTTTTATATATTGCATTTCTGTACTGCTTATTACTGTGCTTACCCGAGCCGAGTATCTCTCAGAAAAAGCCTCTCTACGACTCTACCTGCACAAGGTAGGGTAAAGTCTACATACACACTACCACTCTCCAGACCTCACTTGTCGGAATATACTGCATATGTTGTTGTTGTTGTATATGCCTATAAAGCCTTGTTCCTTGTTGGGGTTCTACCAATTCAATATTTGAAGCTAATAGTCCTTTTTCTTTTTTCCAGGTTTAGGCAGTATGGATTATGGGAGAGATATGCAGATTTATATCCAAATCAAGATTTGGTTTATACAGTTGGAAGTAGTGACTATAGAAAAGATTGGTTCTATGCTCAAGTGACCAGGTAGTACATATGAATTGTAAGCTTTGCTTATAATTGAAACAAGGATTTAGGATAAATACATATAAGCTGATTAGTTAAAACAGTAATACTGGAGCTCTTAGTTTCAATATTCAATTTTTGTTTTCTTTAATTTGAGCAGAAAAGTGGGTGATAAGGCATTTGAACCGACAACCTGGCAAATTAAATTCAGTTTAGATGGCGTTGACCAAACTGGAAATTACACACTGCGAATTGCACTCTCATCTTCAACTCAGTCGATATTGGAGGTATTCTGGCATAAAATATAGTCTTTCTTCTTCCCATTTCTCGATCAAGAGCTCATAATTTCTGTGTACATCAAACTATTTTAACCAAGCAACATGAGATTTGATGTTATGTGACTTATGTCTTAGGTAAGGGTGAATGAGGCAGAAGCAAATCCACCCCATTTCTCAAGTGGATTGATTGGAAGTGATAACGCGATTGCCAGGCATGGAATCCACGGGTTATATTGGTTGTTTAACGTGGAGGTAGCTGCAGGACAACTCCTTCAAGGAGAGAATATCATATATCTCAAACAAGCATGGAGTGTCAGTGCTTTGCATGGGATTATGTACGACTATATTCGTCTGGAAGCTCCTCCTCTTTCCGCCACACACTTTCAATGGCGGATCCAGAGGAGGTTCTGTGGGTTCAACTAAACCCATTTCTTTTGTTTTAAACTGTATATGTATGCATATGTAAACGAAAATAAAATGTAATGCATACATTAAGATTCACATTCATTGAACCCACCGACTGAAGTAAAAGTAATGAGAATGATAGGATCTTTCGGGCATAACCAATCTTTGTTCAAACTCCATTTAGTGCCCTCTCTATACGTATTATCCCGAGGATGATTTACCTATTCAAAGGTCTCTGCCAAAACCTTTAAGGGCCATTTGAATGTCCACCTTCTTAATTTGAAGATCCTCCACTTTGAAGTTATGTGTCATGACCCGCCACACCATCATGCCACATAGGTGCCACTTGGCATATATTTTTGTCATATGGAAGGGTTACATAAATTAGGGAAAAGATCTTGGTGGAATATTCTAGAACTATGGAGAATTTCCTTAGAAAAATGCTAGATATTTATGCATTTGTAGGAAGGTTCTAGAGAAATATAGAGATTTCCTTAGGAAGACCCTAGAACCCTATAGAATTGTTAGGAAAGTCCTTAGAAGAATCTAGCTGTGTAGAATATTCTAGAGAAGACACTTAGTTGTAAATATGGAAGGACTTGTAAAATAATTATTATTTACATACTAACTCCTAGGTGATTAGTATAAATAGGGGGCATTCATTTGTAATTCAGGAACCAAGCAAAACAATCAAGTTCTCTCTAATACAAAAGCTTCCTTTGGCAATTCTCATGTGTTCTAACATTTCTTAGCGATTATGAGTGTAGTAGGACTGACTTGGCATAGCAAGAACGTGAGCAAGTTATGCAAGATCGTGAGTGAGTTGTCAAGTGCCGCACGTGCACTTAGTTTAAGACTAAGGACGTGACATATGTCCTTGAAAACCACGAAACAATGCGTTTTCCCAAGCCGTCTGTAACAAACCCTCAACATCGACTATGCTGAGTCCTTCAGTTGCAGAAGCTGCACATCAAACGTTTATTCAGTCTCTAGACTTCTTCCCAAATCTCAGGACACAAAAATAATTATACATCCTATGGAACTAACCTATGGCTGAAAGGTCTATGTCAGTATCGAAAAAGATCCTTCTCTGCATCCTTTTCGATTTGACTTGCAGGATCTTCAGCTGTGCATCTTCATCTGGTAGATCTAATTGCAAGCGCAATTCAAATCTCCCTGGTCTACAGTCACACCAAGATATATTCAACTAAAATATATCAAATATATAGAGGGATAGATGGGCAAGGTAAATTGCAAAAGCTATTTTACTTTCCACTTCAAAACTATTTCGAATAGAATATGAATAGCACATTAATGAAATTAAGAGAGATCATTGGAGAAATGTATACCTCAACAAGCCGTCATCAATCAATTCAATCCTACTAGTTGTCCCCACAACCAACAGATTGGTTTGTTCCCTAACGCCATCAACCTAGTCTCGTCAAACCAACATTAGTTAGCCATACATAAATAACCTAGGAAGCAAAAGTCGTTTGCAGAGTTGGGGGAGGTGAAAAGCATAGAGGGATTGAAGCAGACCAATGTTGACAGTTGGCTCACTATCCTATCAGTTGTCGAGTTTAAACCTCTTTTTTGACATCAAAATCCAAATTTCGAGTTAGACACTGAAATAAGCACACAGAAACAAAGCAAGCTAAGCAATTAGGAAATGCTTACCCCTGCAATCGCATCGATGTCTTCAAATATGATTACATGAACAGGACTTTCATCACCTAATGAAGCAATACGTATCATCAAATAACCAAACAATCTACTATATAAACAACAACACAAGAATTATCTATCTTACTTTGATAGACAGTAAAAGCTAATAATGAGAAAGTACTACCACAAGACTGCCCATGGGCTCAGGAAATAAACTTTTTAGTCTTTTTCAAACATTTTATCCAATACCAGATTGATCACCGAGAAAGATGTATTTTCAGTGTGATACTTGGCGACCTTTGCAGCCTATTCATTTTAATTCATACCTATATTCTCTAAGTCACTTTAATGATTGCTAATGGAAATGAATCTGGAGATGTTATACAGCTGATCTTAGCTCTACAACTGCCACCGATTTGCCCAGTCAGAGATACAGATGCACTTAAACAAACATAAGTCGGATCATACAATTTACATTAGCTAGAAAAACAATTAAATATATAGAGAATTATTTTCTTATCGTAGAACCCAAAGTCTCACTTTTCAAAGCTAGAGAAAAGCAAGGAGAAGGAAACAATAGAAAACACAGGGGACATCATATTCTTACCCATTTGCTCTAAATCTCTAATTGATGGTGCAAAAATATCTCTCAGATTCTTTTCACCTGATCCTACGAGAGTGCTTATGATCTCCGGCCCTCTCACGGCCTAGAAAAGAAATAAAAGAAATTATTAGAAGAAGTTACTAACAATAAACAAAATGAAGGGCTTCCTTAGTTAAAATTACAACCTTTAATTTTGCATTGAGAATTTCGGATAAGCGTCTTGCAACCAGTGTTTTTCCAATTCCAGGTGGCCCGTGAATGATTCAGCCTTTTATGGGTTGGACCCTTATCCTTCATTCATTAAAACAACCATCAAACATTTGATAGTAAGCTCGTCAAGTTTACAGAAAAATCTAATTTGATACAAAAATGCTTACTCTCTTGCTAAATCCCGAGGTAAGGTACGAGGGAGAACTAATCTCAAAATGATATCTTTGAAATGGTTGTTAGGTCCCCCAAATCCCAAGGATGCCATTTCTTCTTCAAGCTCCTCCATAGTGAAATCTCTCCTTAAAACTTCTTTCTTAACTTCTTTTGGACCACGAGCCTAGCAAAAAGGTGAATGACTCCATATACTTAAATAAAAGCACTTGGAATTTGAATTACAGACCTGCTGAAATTCCTTTCTTAATGTTAAATGGAAAGGAAATTTTAGCTCAAAACTTTACCCTCCAAACACGAGCTTTTGCCAAATTTTTACTGAAAATTGGAAAAAGAAGCATAATTATAATTTATGATGTACCTCTGTATGTTTTTTGCTGAAGATATGCCAGCATTTCCTGCGCTTCGGTATAGAGATCTTCTATGTCAGAATCTTCATGTTCAATGCACCTCAAACAGCATAGTCATAATTCCAGTTCCCAATTGTCCAACTGTAAAATGTAGGCAACAATTCAAGCAAATTTTGCTTTCCCAAGAAAATTGTTACGTGGAAAGGTGTATGAGTTTAAGGCACGCGTTCGCGACCTGGGCCTCGCGTTTGCGTAGAGTGAATGGTCATGTGGAGTTAAGGCAATTAAGCCTATGCGTTCGCGATGGGTGTTCCGCGTTCGCGTAGGGTCGAGTTGAGTGGTTTTCGGGTTTGCAAGTGGGACCTCGCGTTTGCGAAGAAGGGAATTCCGGTATGAGGAAGCTTGTGCTTCGCGAATGCGAGGGAGCTACCACATTCGCGAAGAAGAAAACACCTGGGCAAAATATTTAAGTTCAAAAACGAGGGTTTTGGTCCATAATTTCAAATTTCATTAGAGAGCTCGGGTGAAGGCAATTTTGGAGGGGATTTTCAGAGGATTGATTGGGGTAAATGTTCTTTACTCAAATTTGGTTAAATCCCATGATTATGCCTTGATTTTTATCATTTAATTTGGGAATTTGGGGTGAAAATTGGGCAAAATGGTAGGAAATTTGGAGAGTTGATTTTGGGAATTTGGAGGGCCATTTGATGTCGGATTTTGGTCAATTTGATATGGGTAGACTCGTGAGCGAATGGGTTTTTCAGTTTTGTAATTTTTATCGGATTCCGAGACATGGGCCCGGGGGCCGGGTTTGAGCCAATTTCGGGATTTTTGAGTTAATTTGATTATTTTCGCTTGAGATTTGTTCTTTTAGCGTATATTGATGATAATATACTGATTTTGGTTAGATTCAGAGCATTTAGAGGCCGAGTCGAGAGGAAAAGGCATCGCGAGTTAGAGTTTGAATCGGTTTGAGGTAAGTAATGATTATAAATGTTGTCCTGAGGGTATGAAACCCCGGATTTTACATCGTTGTGCTACTTTGAGGTGACGCAGACGCTAGATACTAACTTTATCTACCAAGCATTTCACCAAACTTTCCTCTAAGTACTATGGCCCCTACCAGATCCTTGAAAAGATTGGGAATGTTGCCTATAAACTTGCCATACCTTCACAGTTACTCTTACATCCCACTTTTCATGTTTCCCTTCTCAAGCCCTGCTATGAAGTACCAAAGACAATAAACCATTTCCCAGTCCTAGACTTGTCAAGCCCTTACTATCCCTATTCGGCTAAGGTGTTAGACAGAAGGATGATACAAAAGGGAAATAAGGCAGTGGGACAACTCTTAATTCAATGGGAGCACCTACTTGAAGATCAAGCTACTTGGGAAGATTCTAATGCACTCAACGTCAGATTCCCTACCTTCATTCCTTGAGGCCAAGGAATTCCTTAAAGGGGAGTATTGCTATGACCTGAATGAGAAGCATGCACAGATGGGAAGGAGTACCTTAGGCTTAAAGAGAAGTAAATAATAAAAGTAATTATGGTAGCTATATAGTTTGGAGGGTTAAAGTTTAGTCCCTTGTTTACTTTACACTTAAGTCCATTAGCTAAATCACTCTATGCTTTACTCCTAACTATGAAGGAGTATTTGTATCTGTGTAGTGTTTACACCGTGTTTTATATAATGAAATCCCAATAGTTCTTCTTCTTAGTTTAATTCTCTGCAATTTTCTTCTGTTCGCACTAACACGGTATATGTATTAAGAATTTCACTAAATATTTATAAATAACTGACTGTGAACCCAGTTATTATTGTATAATAAGTTGAGATCGCTATAGAAACTCATAAACTTCAAACCCTAGATCCGCCTCTGAGACCACAATAGCATACTTCTAGCCACTAACATAACACCGGCCTCTAAATGCAGAATTGCTTACAAAAGTATTTCCATTATTCTGATGTTTCTATCAACCTAGTCTCCCTAAGCTCGTTTTACCTTCTATAATCCCCTTAGGTCATCATATTTTTTTATTGTACTTTTTTTAGAAGAAAACTAACTAAACAAATTCAAGCAATCATAGATTGGAAACAAATTAAAGCTTCTACACCACATTCTACCATGACGCCCCATTTCAAAAAAGGGTAAATAACTAGAACAATTCCGTACGCCAAAAAGAATGCATCACCATGACAAAAACATTTAGCAAATAAGCAAACACAGCAAAAAATTCACATAAATTAAACTGGAGAAGCTGTGGTTTAGTTTGAATTTATTATTTTGAAAAAAAAAATTACCCTGTATTCCAAGGGAAAAACAAGAATCAAAACGCACCTGGACACCAGCTTGTGGACTACTAGAAAGTTTCACCGTCTGCTACTACTAGAAATTTTCCAGTCAGTTACCTATAAATAGTGGAAATACCAGCTTGTGGACCCCACAGTTTGCATGCAACTTCTTTGGTATTACTCTGCTTCCGAGTCTTACTGTGATACTGTAGAATTTTCATTAAAAGAATTATTTATTACGTTTTGGTTAATACAAATTAATTTTTATTGGGTTTCTATGCACTTAAATTAAAAGAAAATATTCTACCCGTCGAGGACATTGTTGTAATTATGGGTAATTTTAACATATACAACAACAACAACAACAACAACAACAACAACAACAACGACCCAGTATAAATCCCACAAGTGGGGTCTGGGGAGGGTAATATGTACGCAGACCTTACCCCTACCCCAAAGGGTAGAGAGACTGTTTCCAGGAGACCCTCGGCTCAAAAAAGCAACAGGAGCCGATATATTAGTACCATAAAAATGCATAATAAAATAACAGCAATATAAGAGATATGAAATACAGAATACGAAATACGAAATAGATGGNGAAATACGAAATACGAAATAGATGGCTGGTAAAACTAGCAGGTAAACCCCTGCATCAAAAGACGACCAATGACATTCTTAGTCTAACTCCTAACTAGCTAGTCTCACTCTATTGTGCTGTAGAAATATTCACA